CCCCCCACCCCCTGGAAACTCGATTCTAACAAGCAAATCCAGGGGTTTGTGGCATCCGCAAGGGCTGGCATATTGCCAGTTTGTGAGGACTGACCCGATCAGTGTCCAGGGACCAACGTCGGCGGTTGGCTCCATGTCGGCGGTTGGCTCCAAGGCAGGGAGTTGCTGAGGAAGTGCTGCTGAGAGGAAGAAGGAAGGCAGGGAGTTGCTGCTGAGGAGCCACGTGGTAATCAACGTCGGCAGTTGGCTGCAAGGCAACCCCTGGCATTTTCTGGATATTTTTCTTTTCAGGTGGTCAACGTCTCCACGTGGTGATCAACGTCGCCCGTTGGCTCCAAGGCAACCCCCGGAATTTTCTGGCTATTTTTCTTTTCAGGTTTCTCTGCTGCATGCGCATCATGTTTGTCAAGCCGGTGCAATGCATGCTTCGCAATGCATGTGCACACATCGCACACACAGGTGCAGTGGGCACAGCCATGTATGTCTGTTCCCTTCCCCGTTTGCCGTAAAACAGTCATTCTGCAGAGGAACAGCCACACACAGAAAGCCTGTCAAATTCGAACCCTGGCCATAGCAAACAACGAAGGCAGCGCATAAAGAGCATAACTAACCAGCAAGCAACTATTGCTCTACATTCACATCCCTTAAATTCCCCATCCATGTCTTGCCTCTCCACAGCTCCTTACTTCGACATATCAACTTCTTCGCACAATTCCTACACAAATCTGGTCTGACATAGGAGGCAAAGGGAACTTGAGCATACTGTATCTGCATTCACAATGCTTGTGCAGCTGTCATCACATCGCCACCATTTCCCTGATGAATCCTGCAAACGACAGGGAGCACATGCAAGCATGGACCAGTACCAAAGTCAGCCAGTTGACAAGCAATACGGGACTTGCCAAGAACAGAGAAAGAAACAGAAACGGGAGGTAGCAATATTCTTTCCTCGCCGTATTGTTACATCCACCTGCAGTACAGAGGTCTGATAGCCTAACGGCTGGATGCCAGGAGTCCACTACACAAGTGTGAGTCCAATACGCAACCTATGGTCACCCACAGTGCACCACTCACTCAGTTCCCAAGCTTGAGAGCGACTCCTAACATTACAATTTACAACCATTCTCATCATCTATTACTCTGCTGCTACTCCTGCACTCATCGGCCCATATCCAGAATTAGACAAGCAAAACACTGATTCCCAAAAGAGAAGACTGAGCTCAACGACCACACCCAAACCCAGCACGTTCATGTTCCCTCATTCTGTAGCTCCTGCCTGGTATGATGGCACACAGATGCTCCACAGCTGGGTGCTAAGTTGCTAACCCAAGTGATAACACTTCCCGACCCTCTCTTCCTAAGGGGATGTGCTCGTTATACATGGCCATCCACCCACCCCTCCGCGGGCCCACCCCACCCCGAACCCTCCTTGAAGATGATAACAGTCTGCCGTTGCCAAGAAGGGAGAAGAAACCTGCAAGACTTCATACCCTCTCTTCCTAAGAGGATGTGCTCGTTATACATGGTCATCCACCCACCCCTCTGCGGGCCCAACCCACCCCGAACCCTCCTTGAAGACGATAACAGTCTTCCCTTGCCAAGAAGGGAGAAGGAACCTGCAAGACATTCCGATAGGAAGTTATAAAAAGTTTTTCACTTGCCAGGCCAATGGCAAAGCACCCTTGTGCAGACAGGATAGTGCTATTCAAATGTCTGCCTCCACCACAGAAAATGTGAAATGCCATCCCCACTCATGCCCTCATAAATGTAGGAAGTATAAAGTCTAACTCAAAAGAAATGGGGGCCAGGATGGCCGGAGAGACAGGGGTTGCCAACACCCCAGACCACTCAAGATCATCCTTTTGGAAATTTATCAGCACAGGTCATTTCCATACTTAAAACACAGCTAGCTTTCACAGGTGAAGTCAAATTCGAAAACATAACCTATACCGCATTCTTCAGAAGCTGGGCACCACTGGACCAAAATGGCTGGCAGTGAGCCAAAACAAAAGAAAAAAGGTCGAGCTGGCGCTTTTGCAAAGGTTGGGGCAGTTCTACTCCGCCTCAGCAAAAATAGGCTCAGCGGAAGTGGTGGTTTAAGAAACAGAGGACAACGAGAACACACCCATCCTGCATGATACTCGTCACGCATCATGGCAAGCAAAATCCAGCAATGTGCTCTGTGGGGCGTGTTGAAATAGAGAGCGGGAGGCTGACACAGGGAGTCGAGGTGGTTTTTGACGCTCTAGTCCTCCCAGGTCATCCTTCTTGATAATCATCAATTTATCATAGTAGGCCACTTTGAGACACAAAAGAAAGGAAGACAGAAACACACCCAGACATGCTCCTTTCTCTGCATGACAAGCTCATCACTCTTTGTGCCAAGCAAAATGGGCCTGCTGACTCCAGCTCTCTAGAGATAGAAGCTAAGTTCAAAACATAGAGCATGATGTCAACGGAGAGAAAAAGAGGGAAAAGGGCAGGAAGGGAGCTTTTTGGACGTGTACGGCCGCCACACAGAAGACGTAGAGGGCGGTTTGCAGTACCTGTAATGGTCCTTTGAAGGGAACTGAAAGAAGCCATCCCTAGTACAAGAGGACCGGGATGGGTCTACCTATGGTGGACTGGTTGTCATGCCAGTGGCATTGCCGGCTAGCTACATTGGTTAGAGAGCCGCTGAAAGCATATAAGCAAGAAACCCCTCTTGAAAGACCATCACTTGAATAGGAGAGAAGCAAGAGCACCGTGAGGTGTGAAGCTTACTCGTACTGATTACGATTTCGACTATCCGGGATAATGGGGATAAATACAAACAAGGGTACCCATTACCGCTTCGCTCACAAAAAAAAGAAGGGCAAAACGAAAAAATGTGAAGGGGGGGATTGTGGGGGTGGGTCGGGGCCGGGGTCCGGGGGCATTTGGCTCGATGATATATTGGTATTCAATCGTTCTGTCCAGGAGCATGCGCAGCATCTGGCTCTGGTCCTCCAGGCCTTACGTGATAACCAGTATAAGATCAACAGAGAGAAATCCTTTTTTGGGGTCCCCTCTGTAGTCTATCTGGGTCACGTCATTTTTGGACAGGAGTTGGCTCTTGAAGCAACGAAAGTTCCTGCAGTTCAGGACTGGCCGCGGCCTGCTAACATTCGTGATGTCCAGTCATTCTTGGGGCTTGCATCGTATTATAGGAAGTTCATTAAGAACTTCTCTTCTATTGGAGCTCCCTTGACTGATCTCACAAAGAAAGACACTTCCTTTCTTTGGACATCAGAATGCCAGGAGGCTTTTACACGTCTCAAGGAGGCCTTGATTCGTGCTCCTGTCTTGAAGTTACCAAACCCTACCCTGCCTTTTGTGCTTACTATTGATGCTAGTCAGTATGGTGTAGGGGCGGTACTTCAACAGGATGATGGGAATGGTATGCAGCCTATCGAATACAGGAGCAAGAAGATCAAAACAAAGAAGCTGCAGGATTCTACCTACGAGAAGGAACTTTATGCTCTTGTGTCGGCGCTCAAGCATTGGAAACACTTTCTCCTGGGCAGGCACTTCAAGATCTTTTCAGATCATTCCACCCTTTAGTGGATGAAGTCCCAGGGAGAGCTGAACGACAAGCTTGCTCGCTACATTCAGTTCATTGACATGTTTGACTTTGAACTGAGACACAAGAAGGGCTGCTACAACCGAGAAGCAGATGCCCTTTCTCGTAGGCCTGACACTCTTTTCCTGATCTCCTTTACTCGCTCATTGGGAGAGAGGACCCGTCAGACCATTGCCCAGTTGCTGCCCCAGGATGAGATTTTGGGGCCTATTGTGAGGAATCTCCAGGATGATCCTGCCTCTGAACCAGGATATACTCTGGTCTCAGGTCTGCTGTACACATGCAGCAGAGGTGAGGAGCGCCTGTGCATTCCCCAGGACCGCAAGTTGAGAACACTTCTGATGTCAGAGTGTCATGATGCTCGTGGTCACTTTGGTGCCGTCAAATCTTATGCAGCCCTGTTGCAGCGCTTCTTCTGGAAGGAGATGAGGAGTGACATGTTGCGTTATGTGGAAACCTGTGAGTTATGCCAAAGGAATAAGGTTGTATGTCGACCTCCCCTTGGTTTTACTGACTTGGTTAGGACTACCCCTCGTGGTATGCGTCAGGTCATGGTATGTGTGGATCGGTTCTCCAAATATGCAGAGTTCATCCCCTTACCAACTGAGGCTCGTGTGCCAGCCGTTCAGGCGGGGTTTGTTGACAAGTGGGTTACACATCATGGACCACCCACCTCTATCGCCAGTGACAGAGATCCCCGGTTTTGCAATGGTAATCCTACTGCAGGGATTACCTTCATTCTCGTCTAGATATGACATTTGGTCGTCATCCTGAAGCCAATGGACAGGCTGAGGTGATGAACCAGATTCTTTTCCAGCTACTAAGTCCTGTAATCCGTCCAGATCAGCAGGACTGGGATCTCCATTTGGGTCGTGCACAGCTTGTGTACAACACGTTTGTACACTCCTCTATTGGCTTCACACCCTACCGGTTACACTGCGGTCATGAACCACGACAGCCTCTCCATGACATCATCGATAAGGCTACCCCTACGTTGACGCCTGGAACTGCAGAGTTCACCAGACGTTACTGTGTGGACATTGAGCGCACCCATGCTAACCTGCTGAAAGCCCAAAAGGCAACGATTCAGCAGGCCAATAAGCACAGACGTCCCTCTACTATTCGCACATGTTACTGGGTGTGGGTACTCAGTTCTGAGTTGTCACGAGAGGAGGACATATCACCTAAGTTGCTGCAACGATACATGGGTCCATGGCATGTCTTAGATACAGTGGGAGCTGATCCATTTGGAACATCCTATACAGTGGATGTCCCTCTGCATCTACAAACCTACCCTGTTTTTCATGCATCTAAGTTGTTGCCGTTCACACCAGCTGATGCATTCCCAGACAGGCCTCCTCAGTTCGGTCCCCCTATCCCTGGCGAGGGGTATGAGGTTGAATCTGTGGTAGATGAGTCAGGTACACTCCAGATAAGGAGTACCTTGTGAAGTTCTTGTACCAACCACATACGGAGGACAGCTGGTTTACTCGCAAGGAACTCCTGAAGACAGCCAAGTCTGTAATCCTCAAATATGAGGCCGCACAAAGGGAGCGATGTCGACTCATCACATCCTGGAGCTGGAGAAAACGCCTTCGGCGCTCTGCACGCCTACGCCCCTAGCTCGGAGGTTCTCGCTCTGTGGGACGGTAGGTCTGCAATGACTTGCTGTTTTCTGGTCGCCTGTAGCCTCTCTATCGAGGCTGTACTATAGGTAGGACATATCGAGGCTAACCGAGAGACCTACCTGTGAGTGGAATTAGTGAGGGACTTATCTGCAAATTTGGAAAATATGCAGGCCCGGTACTAACCGAATTCCCTACAGCTAACCTAACTGCGAATAGCAGGCCCGGGCTACCCCTAGGACAGACGGGCCCTAAGGGCCTATTCTGATAGACGGTCCTATAGCCTATAGCCGGGTCCGGTAGAGGCCGAGAGGCCGAAACAGAAACGGTACCGGTCGGTCAGTCAGTCCGGTCTAGGTCGAGTCTAGGCTAGTGTAGGAGATAGATAGGATGGGCACATCGGTTCAGCGTTTTTGGCAGTTGCTACCAAGTACATCGCTGTTGTGCTTCGCCTGAACCGGAAGTGGTAACGGCTCAACGTGGAAGGAGACAGGCATAGCCAGACCTTCGGAGCGCCGGCCATAGCTGAGACCTGCGCTGTACTCTGCCAACATGCAGGGGCTGACAGAGGTCTGGGTTATCGAGGTTTGTTGGAGGCGAGAGAGATTGGTGCCCTGCTGGACCCTCCTCCAAAGTGGGATTCCAGGGTGTTGGCGCTGCTGCCATAGCTGCAGCTTTCTTCCTCAGAGGTCATCTTGTCAGGGGTTGGTGGCGCTGCTGCAGACTTCCACCTAGGAAGTCTTCCGACACTTCGTCATCATCAGATACTGTGGCGCTGGTCTTCTTCTTCATCCTCTGAGTGGCGCTTGGCCTCATAGGCTTGTTTCAGGGTGGCGCTTCCCTCAGGAGGTATCTGGGTGGCGCTTGATGTTTCAGAGGCTCAGGGGTGTTACGGGTGTTCTTCAAGGTTGGGGAGTGAAGCGCTGCTCATTTCTGAGCAGCGCACTGGGGTACTGAAGTTATACTGACAATTCGAGACTCTCAGTTTAATAACTGGGTTTGGACTATCATCGTTTCCTTGTTTCCTGGATGTGATCTGCTCGGCTTTTCTCTATGACTGATTGTGAGGATTGAGTGGAGTGAATTGCACTTTCAGTGTACCCTGTCATATCGCATGGTCAAGTCTTCCACTGTGTTCATCTCTCTCTGTGCGGTGTGATACTCCTATCCTCTCCCCTTCCTTCTGTGTATGTATAATCATACCTGGAAGTCTATGTGAACGAGTGTTGGTCATCAGACAACAAACAACCAGAATCATAACAGATACGTGACAGCGCCCACGCGGGAGTACGCGCTGCACGATGGGCGAAGCTTCGAACGACAAACAACAGAAAAATGGACAAATGCACGTACAACAACAGGGCAACCAGAACACAAAACCCTACCGGTAGGTACAATGGTCCTCTCCAACAGGCAAATAATATGGGTCGTCGGGCCCAAGGTACCGCCCCAACGGCCTGGATCGACGCACGATCTTAAGATCTTAAGACCTTGCGCCGATCCGGCCAGTCCATCCGGAAGGACCCAGCGGCCGAGATTTCAGATTCCTTACATGTTTTTGACGATCCAGGCCTTGTGCTGGTAAGACCGACGACGGCCTGGATCAGAGATTGGTTACCTTTGCAATTTTGATAGTGTAGGCATATCGGATTATGGATTTAGTGAAATATTTGACATTTTCAATGTTTCTTTTTCTTTTAGGTATTTGGGGAATCTTTCTAAATAGAAAGAATATCCTTATTATGTCAATGTCAATTGAGTTAATTGTAATCAGACTCAACTTCAAGCTCACTTCGAGCATGCATACATACAGATGATGATGGCAGAAGAACTTGCGCAAACGCAGAACCAGCAACAAGCTTGGGATGGCGCTCGGCGCCCACACACAAAACTCAGAGATATGGCCTCTCGCCAGGAACTCAGCTTAAGTCAACTTTGACAACTTGCGGCTATGGCCGCTGAACACTGTATCCACCATCAGGCACTCTACACTCACTCACACATATGTTCACACACACTAGGATCTACACTGAATGTCCACGCATACACACCACACACACACACTGGCGGCTATGGCCACCTATCTTCTACCTAGCGGCTATAGCCGCTGTCTCCTCCTTCCTGCCCACTTCATCTTCGGGCAGTCGCAGTCCTCCAACGCACAAGACACTCAGGCACCGCTTCCGCGTCACTTGCAGAATGAATGAATGGATGGGTGGTGCCTCTTCATTCATACTTCTTTCGTCGATGGTCTGGCCTGCCTTCGGGCCCAGGCCCAAGGATTGTGCTGTCCCACCTGGTACTTGCTGACTGGACGAAGTAGACTGGGACTAGGCACTGGGACTGCTGACTGTGCTAGGACTGGACTACCTTTCGCTGACCCACCTACGGACAATTGACCTCTGCAGTACCAAAAAACTGCAACTGCGGACTTCTAGAAACTCCTAGGCCTAGACTGACTGACTCTTCGTAAGACTTAGAGCTAACTTATCCGACAGACCCTAGGACTGCTAAAACTAAGACTCCCGGTTCAAGTCCACGCGACCAGACAGTACACACAGACTGCTGACAGACAACTTTTGGGCCAGGTCGCGGGTTCAAAGCACATGGGGTCAACAGGCACTATACAAGAGATCAGGGTTGGGTCTAGGGATCGAGCCCTGGGATCTGCAATTGTCATGTAAACTGGGTGACACCGTTTCATAATGTTACTGGCTGTCAATTTGAACTTTTTAGTATTTTTACTATTTTCTGTTAATCTAGATGAGATGATGGGTCAGTTATCTGCTTCATTCTTATTAACTGTAACTGCTGCAGAGTGTTGTGTCTTTGGTGGTGAGTGATGGAATAGTGGGGCGAAAGCACAGAGAATGGGGGTCGGGAGGAAAGCAGGAGGTGGCGTTCGGCAGGGAGAAGATTGTTTATTTGGCAGGGAGCGGTGAAATAATGGTACTCATGGGGCGAAAGCACGGCGAGGGAGAACTGACATAATGTAAACAAGGGGGCAGAAAAACAAGATTATTGACCCTGGGCCTCACCTTCACATACGCATAATAATGTCCTGAGTCTTGAGAAGAACCTGAATGAACAATTATGCCATACAAAGAATACTGTGGATTGCGGTCCTGCAAGATGCCAAAACCACAAAGGGAGCCAGATCAGTGAGATCAACTATTAGAGTGTACTCACACTCAGTCTTTCCTTGAATGCATCTGACCATAATTACGGCCAAAAGTGGTCAAAAGAGTCCTGTACTACAGCCAAATTCGGTCAAAAGAGTCCTGTAGTATGCGCTTAAACCACCAGTACCCCCAAAGCAGTCTTCCCGAATGTTTTCCTTTAGAAGCTACCAAACCTCCGAATGCAACTTGTGAGATGTACAGATTCAGTGGGTAACAGGTCCTCCAAGGGAGCGACCGGTAATTTGCACGTGTTTTTTTTTTTGTCTTTTCCCTCTTTTTTTTCCCCATTGCTCTTTTATTTTTCCAGTTTGACCTCTCATTTTTTCCCCTATTGGCTGCTGTGACTACCAGGAGGGCTGCTGACAGCGCACATGGAGGCCTCATCCTTGCACAGGGCCATGATACTCTTGTGTGCATCTTTCCGTGGGATAGCGGAAGATTCATTCTCATTATGCCTATCTGGTGGACAAGGGACCTCGCTCCACCACTCACTGCACAAAGGATGGCACACTATGTTTTTCTTTGTTTTTATCGACTGTTTTGCTGAGTGAGGACACCGCCTGGCCGGGCCTGCCCTGCCGGGTTGAGCCCAGCCGGTTGGGCCCGGGGGGGCCACCCAGGTAAACCAGGCAGGACAAAAAACCGCCCAGAATTTTTTTTATTTTTTTTTGGAACCGGGGTCGTTCTGCGCTCGGCGAGAGGACCCCAAATCTGCAATAAAATTTTTGTTTTGGTGGGGGGATGGGGGGGTTGGTCTGGGTGGGGGGTGCTGGGGTTGGG